AATAATTTTAAAGACTCCAAACAATTCTAGAAGAAATTCGACCCCAGGAACCTAGCAGGCATGTATCAGAGAAAGATAACTAGAAATTAACGCATAAAATCAAATACTTAAAACTGTGAAAATAAAATATATGGATGTTTTGGCCTAAATTCTAAGGCCGGATTCCGATTCTAGAGTCTTTTAAGTCCTCAAGGTGCAAACTCATGAGATTTGGTAATTCATTGGATCCTGATCCAAATCGGTCGTTTCAGCAAAAGATGCGCGGTCGTCAATTTGTTAATGCAAATGGAAGGGAGTCGTAGCAATAATATAACAATCAATGGTTTGGTTCTTAAGAAATAACAAACAAAGTCGGGCAAAAGCGTGATCCGCCGGCGTAATATATCATTCGAAAGCTTGAAAATGTTTTCTTTTCTTGTTAACAATAATAATAGTAAATAAAATTTAGATGAAATCAACTTGCAAAAACACCGAAAAACAGCTTAAACTCTCTATAAGTCGAGAGAAAAACGAAGACAAGATCCAAGAAATGAAACTTTGAGCATTTGATCTCTAGCTTGCTCAAATTGTAACAAAGCCAATTTCCACAAAGCCAATTCAAAATGTCCAAATAGGTGTTTTGTCACCCATTTCAATTTATCAAACGACTACGTTATAAATAATTTTTAATAACTGAAATATCTTTAATCTGCCTTGTATGTAGCACGATCAATAGCATTTTGCTTTTTATTAATTTCTCGTTACATAGAGTCAGTTTCCTTCAAATTTATCTATGATGGTGAGCAATGTAAATGCAACTAAGCAAGGTGAGTAATTTTGAATGCTTTTAATAATGTTTTGATTCATAGCTTTATTATATTTAAGTTTAGAATCAAATTTCTTTTTCGTCCTTTTGTCTCAAAAGCACTCTTTAATATCAGTGCACACTTGAGTGGAAGTCTTGCCGCACCAAGTGAAATTTGTATTTGAGTTAGACACATTGAAAAAGATATACGAAGCAGATTTATAGCAGTGAGAGAGGGCGTCTTTGCTACCATATCAGAAAAGAGTATACTAATATGGCCGAGCGATAATAACTTTTTGTCTTTGAACCAGTGCCTGATCAAGGAGTTTGGCTATTCCTGAATTAATAACGATTATTTTTAGACTAAAAGCTTTAAGGGCTTGCGCTTAAAGCTGATCTAAAAGTTTTGATTGATCAAAAACCCACATTAAGTAACTGCGTTTGCAGAGCTGTCTGATCATAGACTTTTGTGCCAAAGTGTTTGTATGCCCGTAAAATATCGGTGATTCAACTCATTTCAGTCTTACTAGATCAATAAGTTGAATACAAGTCGGGCAAAAGTCTAACGGAGTTATAGTTGGAGCTTTTGTGGTTGTGGTTACGGTAGTTGTCGTTGTAGTTGTTGTGGGAGTTGTTGTGATCGTCGTTTTCACTGTGGTTGTGGTGGCCATTACCACCGTTATCGCACATTCACCCATATCGTGACAAATTTGATAGGTTGATTTTCCTGAAAATTCGGTTTGCTTAACTCTTTTGTCAGCTTAACCATTTTGCATGTCTTTATAGATGATATCGATGTTTTTTCGAATCCATCCCTCACATTCTCGGACAGCTTGCTCACCGTAAACTCTTCTCAATGAGGCACAATCCTAAATGCTGAGTTTTAACTAGATTTTGAATGCCTAAAAAGGATGTTTCAGGTTTACTGATTGAACAATGTCTCAAAAAATGATCTAACACTAGAAGTTAAGGGATTTGGCTGTAATTTACAAATTTATCAAAAAGTTTCACAATGGAAAACTCAAATCATTTAAACCAGCAGTTAACTGCCGAGCCAAGGGATAGTTTACATGAGTCAAACGTCAAACTTAGGTATTTATTTTTGATTAATCTACTACAGTTTACTAATTCACTACTAAATTGGTTTGAGAGGCAAATTTTCCCGTTTACCCGAAATTCCGTTGACCGTCACTTGCTCCCATTTAAACTTTTTCGCATTTGCCGCTTTCTCAAAATATAAAAGTTTTTCAAGATGTTTCTAGTGCTAAAAGATAAGCATATTCCCCGATATATTTTGAGAAAGAAAGCTAATAAAGTTAGCGCTAATAGAAAGCTAATAAGGCAAGCTATTAGAAAAAGACCTCTAGGCGACCGCTTTGATCTCGCTGCAAAATCCGGTTTTATCCGTAACTTACTCAAAACAACAAATTCGAAATTCTTTAAAACTGATTTGACAGGCAAACCGCTGTAGTCGATTACGTATTGTCCCAAAAATCAGATCGAAATTCCCACTGGAACTCGAGTTATGAAGTAACGGACACACATACAAACTTTGCGTTTTATAAGAAGTAAGATGCTTACTGTCATCAACTCCCCGCTCGACACCATTCTTGCTTTCACCTCTCCGATAGTGTGATTGTGCCTAAAATCATAACTGGTTTGTTGTTTTATGGTAATTTACTTGATTAACAACATATTCGCACATAGCGCACGGATCACTCGTTGCTCGTTGCTGAAAATTGAAAAGGATACATTCAAAGTTAAATCGTTCAGACTACTATAGAATTTTCGTACCTTTAAAGCCGAACCAAGAATTGCAAAGAAAACAGAATAATAGCTCGTTTCATTTCTTCTAAACCAAAAACCTTAATCAACTTTCTACAAACGACAGACTCCAATTAAAATCCAAATTAATGCAAAGATTCAGACAAACTGAGAGTTTCCACATAATTACGTGATAAGTGTCAAATCTGGAAACAAAAGACAATGAAACGAATTTTCAAATCTCGGTTTGTGGCTTTATCAGTGAAGCCAGAAATCACACCGCCGGCATCACTCAGATGAGGTAACCGACCGAGATCCGGCTAATTTTTGGGGTTCACAGAGTTCAAAGCATACCAAAATTTGGCAAGGTTCAAAGAAGAAAATCTTTTTTGTATCATAGTGAGTCATGTAGTGTCTGGAAAATTCGTAATTTTAAGGCTTTTATTTCATATAAAATCAAAAGTGACATTCTTTTATCCATTTCGGAGCATCTTACCTAAAGTTTTTATCCACGAACAGGAATTTCTGTGACAGTGTGAGGGAAAAAAAAAGCATTACTCCAGTAAAAACAAACTTCTCAATTCCTTCCTCAAGACTTCAGTTACCCATTTTGATTGGTTTGGCAATCTCGAATTGCGCCAGGTTATTGCTGAACAATTTTATCAAGTTTAAGCCAATACTCTTTAGAGAATTTGACAAAACTATATCAATATTTACAATTTGTCGCAGTTGTCCTAGATCCGGTTCATTGGTTTTCCACTTTGATTCCGGTTATAAGATGTGGTGCGGGGTCGGGCCATTTCGTTGTAATATCTAGAGGTTCGAACTATAGGTTTGGATTTAATGATATTTCCTAGCATTCAAACATATCTTTAAAGAAACGTTTGCATTTTGTTGAAGATTAATAATTTGCCAAGCACAACAAAAGACGATTGCAAGATTTCATCACAGTTCCAGACACAGAGAAGGAAACAATACAAACTGAGTCTCATCTTCGCCTATGTTTAAATCAAAAAAAAACCCGTCGTGTCTCTTTTATATAATGTTTTTATGAGAGTTTATAAACTTATAAACTGACAAGGTTAATGTTCTGACGCTCGTGCTACCATTGAGAGTGAATTAGCGTAAAATACCAAAGATTTTGTAAAGCCAATTTCAAGTGAGCTCTTGATTTTGTGTCAAAAATCTATGCTAAGCATTGAGCTGTTATTGATTAAACGCGAGAAAGAACTCAATAAACTTTTTAAAAAAACTTTATTAATTATAATTTTCGGATTCATTGAGCTCAGCATTGGCAAAGCCAGCTGCATTCCAACAGCTTGGTAAAGCCAACTGCATTCATGTAAATCCAAGCATTCAAAACAAAGCTCTTTTGGTTAAAGAGCACCTAATTTGCAGGCCTCACATTGCGGTTTCTGGAAAGATTGTTCTTCAACATTGGGTAAATCTCTTTACAATAACCCTCATATCCGAGAATCATTTCAGACGGGGATTTGCATGAAATCGGGTACTGCTTGCCTCCTCTGATTATCAAATCGTAATCGGAAACATATTAGTGTACTTCCCTACCCTAAACCGTTTTTATTTCTTTCTGAAACTTGTGTTGCATTGTTTCCTGAATCCTTTTGAAAATGGGAATGCTGAGCAATTCCGTAATACTGATCCAATCCGATATCAAATCGAACGAATCTGATATCCATTCGAGCGAATGCATCGTCCTCGACCGTATCGACCGTTTTCTAAATCTATTTGCTTGTTTTTAACTTGTTGACTGGGTGTACAGAAATATCTACATTTCCCGTTGTTAGCTTTAAGATTTAAATTCCCCGCAGACTTCATTTTATTTGGCTTTTCGTTTTTTCTAGATTCTTTTGTGTTTTGATGTGAGATTTCAGTGATTGATAAAATTATTCTGGCAAAATATTGCCGCTGAACAACTGCACTCTATTGAAATCTACGCGAATTTCTTATACTGAGGTAGTTAACAACGCTGGACGAATATTTTCAGAATGTTTAAAACAATTTGAGCAAATAATTTTTGTGCCACCACCACTGACTACTTTAAGCATCGCTGATTTGAAGATACTCAAAACTACGAACCTTTGCTTGGGTGCTGAATAGTTTAAGGAAACGCAAAGCACAAGACACCTTTCGACTAGTATCATTTAGACAGAGCCAGCACTAAATCCACATAGAGCTCCTCCCTCTCAGCCGAGACTTAAAATCATTTTTAATGATTTAACCACCTTCTGGTACTTTCTTTTCCTTTTATACAAACAATACCCTTTATTACATTACATCTCCCAAAAATTAATCACAGACAGTTGCGAAAAAATACATACAAAAATTATCCATTACAAGCGATTTTGCAGAAACACTCATCCAGACGCGATGACAAAAAATTACAAAGGCGTAAAACATCGAGATCGGGCGATGAACGGTAGATGGTTCAATCTACATCGATGAGAGTGTTCTAAATGACAGTTTTGATGAGTTGTTTATTGTTTATTTGTACCATACCTTTTGAGCGATCTTCTTCTCGAATCGAGTGATCGTTGCTTCGCATTTATCCACTCGGCTTTCCCAGCTGCTTTCAATCTTTTCCAAATTCGTAGCCTAAACAAAAAGTTTGGTTCAAGAAAGTGATGGAACCAAATTCTTGGAAAGTCTCCTCCTCTAAATCCCCACAATCGGCGTCTTCAACTGGAACCTGTTAGCAACAACACTCGAATTCTTGACCACTGTCCAATCAACGAGCATCTTAAACTTTACAATGAGCAGAACAGATAATCTTTAAACCTTTAATGATTCAGGATGTTTTGTGGTATCGTGAGGTGCTGAATGTTGAGTCTTCATTTTAGCCTCCAAGTCATATACATAGGTCATGAGTGCGTGGTTCCTCGATCGAAGCTCCTAAAATCACAGAATTACGGAAGATAGATAAAAACTGGTTGAAAATTCCTCTAATCATGCAACTAAACTAAACCTCGGCTCCTCCAACAGTCGCTGATTCTCCTCGCAAAGATGCTCCATTTGTTCGATGGTAGTCGCGGACTTGGCAGGTTGTTGCGGCGTAAGCGAAAGCGCAGTCAGCTTGTCGTTGGTTTTCTTGAAGTTGACGTTTTCTTCTTCACGTTGCGCACATGTAGCTCGTAAGCCGCTTAGCCTAATTTTAAATTTTAAAACCCCACAATTCAAAACTCACTCTTGATTGTGCAGTGAAATAAGAACTGACATCTCACACCGCACGGCAGCTACACTTGCTTTGAGGGTTTCGTTTTCCGAATTGAGACCTTCTCTAAAAAATTGGATCAGTCACAAAATCTAATGCTCACTGAGTAACGTCGTGTAGCAAGCTCCTCGTGTTGTAGATTTGATCGGCAGACTTGATCTTTCATCACGGAAGTGCTTAGCATGGCGTCAGTGCTTGGTTTTACTCGGTGAATCTGTAAATGAAATAAAACAAATGTCTAATCACCCCATTAACACCATACCCTTCCTTGATACTCGAAGATAGCCTTCTCGATTAACTTCCATGTTCCACAATCATCCCAATAAAATTCCGCGGGGATGTCTTTCTAAGTCAATGGTTACAACCACAAAAACTAATTCACTGATTCAGGGCAATCGTAGTTAGGCCGATTTGTCTCTGAACGATCTCGGTTTGGCCAGTCAAGAATACAGATGAATCGATCGTAGAGATATTTGCTGTCTTGTTTTGACGGTCTAAACTTGGAGCACTGTGCGTGTTGCAAAGAGAACTTACGGCACTGCAAAATTTCCTCAACGTTTTGAGGCAAGAAGTTGGGCAGTGTAGAGCGTTTTGCAGCTTTAATGGTGAACACCCAAATTTCCTGATTTTTTCCCCATTCGTCGGAAATCTAACCTTCTCTGAAAGCCATTGACAAAGATCGGCCCGCTTGCTGCTTTTCGCATACGAACTCGCAATTGCGTTGAATTTGAAACAGTTGAATTATTTTTCAACAACAATAGCTAACTTACCGTCAAATCAGCAATAATCCATTTAAAGGGCATTCGCTCTTGATACATTGTGTAAGCAAAATCGGGTTGAAGGCGCTGCCATTGCTGATTAGGAAAGAAAGAGATCATCCGGAGGATTGCCGACTCCAAGCTAAACAAAACATTTTTATTGCTGCGCCTAACACAAAAAGAACCGTCCAAACATCCGCGGATCCATCGTAGCCCATGCAGGCTTCACGAGTCTCCGCCTCGCACAGGTTGAACTGCTTTTCGAAGCACATGTATTCCCGGCTCCCGAATACATAAAACCAGGAAAAAATTTTTGTAAAGTTTTTCAAAAATCAAGTCTGTGATCGAAAGAAAAAATATGGTGAAAAATGTTTAAAAGACTCATAACCAACACAACAAACAAAACCAAAGTAAAGAGACTAGCTTCATTATTCCTGATCTAAAATCAAAATTAAAGGAGTTAGTGATCCAGTTGATTAGAGAGCAGGACAAAAGGACCTCTTTTGCGCATTTGGTCCACTAGCTACGAAAGCTCTGGAAAAGCTAATAGTAACCAATTTCCATTCCAAGAGTTGTTTTTCTGGGTAATTTTAGGGCGTAGAACCTAAATTTTGACGCAGAGCTTGTGGAGCCAGTCTGGATAAAGATCGGGTGAATCAAATTTGAAAAGGCTGGTCTGACTATGTAAACCTTTGTTTCCACAAGGTCTGATGTCAGAATTTGGATTCTACGCCTTGTATTTACCCAGAACAACAACTCTTGAAATAGTAATTAGTTACTACTAGCTTGCCAGAGCTTTTTTTTAAAGGCCCGCTAATGGGCTGAGTGGTCCTATTTATCCCACTCCCACTGGTTAGTATTCCACATTTTGTCACGAAGTGGGGCCTCAACTTCATCACCGACCTTAAATATAAAAATTCTAGATGCTGAAAAAAACTAAAAGACAAGAACGTTATTTAACGCCAACCTTGAACGATTGCTTTAGAGTTAAAACTGGCGGTAGCCTGACATCGGAAAAAGGGATCTTCTGAATGTCTTCTTGGTTAGCACTTCAGCGATCAAAGTTCCTGGCGTTCGTGATATCGATCCGCTTTTACCGGGACTCCATGTTTCGACTCCATTGATGTTCTTTCGCACCTATGACAAAAAGTTTAACCTCTACTAGGTCTTTACTAAGTTTAAAAATTTCTATATTTTAGTTGTTTCGGGGCGCATCAATATATTTTTCTCGAAAGATCGTTCTAAACAAACTTTCATCTGATAAGCACCCCAACTACACATTAAATAACCTATAATGTTCTGGATAAAACTCCGGTCACTGTTTTATCTAATCGTCTAACATACCGTAAAAAACTCTATTAGAAGAGCCCCCTCTGACCCCTCAAAATATCGACTTTTTTTCGAACATTTTATTATTAGGTTGATGCAAAAGTCTTTTTCGTTTTTTCGTACTTCTGTTAAAAAGTAACAAATTCACCAATTAATCTATAGTTTGCTCTATAAAAAAGTGTTTTTTGTTCAATTTCCATCTTTTTAAATCAATTTCGGTTCCACTTTCAAGCAAATTCGAGAGTGAAAACGCCTTTTCGTAAAAATCTATAAAAACTCTACGGAAAATTGGCTGAATGAATTTCTCTGAAATTTTGGCGAAATATCAAACTTTTTTTTCTCTATCTTTTTATCTATTGACACGAAGATAGGTTTTCTTTAGCTAAGGTGTCTAAACCCGCATCATCGAGTTAGCCCTTTTTGACTACCCCGACTTCATACTCTCAAGAAAATCCAGGCATAAAATATTTTTAAACCCGTTTTAATGTTATTTTGCAGAAAAATAATTGGTTTTTCTAATGAAATCAACCGTAGTTTAATTGGTGCATTTGTTGGCTTGAAACGGCAGACGAAAAGAGAAAAAGACTTTGCATCAACCTAATGGAGGATTGTAGATATAGGTCAGATCGAGTAGTTTGGCCTTGGCGTGTTAGGTGGAAATGGTACTTTTCCAATATGGAAGCAAGGAAGATTATCCGGGGGGCGAAAGGAAGAATCGGGGAGCAGGTGCCCCCTCAAGAAAATGCATTTCAGGACTGTATTTTAACTGCAACACCGTTTTAAAAAACTTTAACACAGCCGTACGCTTCTCGATATTTGTGCGTTCAAAGTGGGCGGCAATCGGTATTTCGTCGCAAAGGAGTCATCCAGTCGTGGATTTGAAACTGTGGCAGATGATAGAATCAACTCAAAGGGAAAAGATCTATTTGCTGGGTATGTGACACTTACGCACGGCGAAGGTCGCCAAAGCATTAGAGGAATTCGAGTCGATAACTTTTTGCAACAAGCAGCTCCCATTCGTCACAATTTTAAATAGGACATATGCTTGGCGCTGCCAAAGGTACTCCCCCGATTTTCCTTCCGCTCCCCGATAATCGGACCACAGCTCCCGATATTGGAAAGAACCTGGAAACGTAGTTTTTAAAGAATTTAGAAATTGTTTTTGAAAAATTCATAGGGGGGACCACATCGATTTTTTTTACAGGAGAATTCCAATAAGTACGAGTACGAAAATAATTCACTTTTAAATGTTTTTGGCATTTTGATGCAGCTTAATGCAGC